TCTCTCTCTCTCTCATCGTGTTATCCACTCTTAATGCTAATTGCTAAATATATGGAAAACTGCACTCACCCTTTCAAACCAAAATCTGAAAGGTAGCTTAAAAATAGACTGCTGTAATTAAAAGGTTAACTAGTTTCTTTAGATACTTAATCTTTGTGGCATTATGAGTAGCAATTAATGAAATTTGAGCAATTTTTCCCATATTAGAGGATATGATTGCAGATAACCTCTACAGCAACCATATAGTTAGGCTTTATTCATAATAAACTTTGGGCTATGATGCTTCGTCGCTATATCTTAGAAAACAATAGTTTTTCCTTCTTATTCCTCAAACTGAAAGGGGAGCTTATATGGTGGTGTTTTTTTCTTGGGTGGAAAGGGATTTTTGGTAATTAGTACTTTGATATAATGCACTTTAGAAGCTACAAACTTCTGGATGTTCTTATGCCTAACTTTTTCATTCCAACAACACTTGACAGGGTCTAAAAGTTGCTGCTACTCGATATTTGGGGCTTAGAAGCGTAGCGCAATTACTTGGCCCAATGTATAGACTATCCTTCGCCTAAAATTTGCTTCATGTTTTCTATGATTTTATTTATTCATATGATATCCTTTTCTCTTATTTAAATTCTCTGTCTCTTGTATAGTTGCATTCATCCCTCTAAACTTCCCCACTTTTTCTTTGGTTCAATGACTCCGAGGATCTGGCTTTGAAAGTTTTTCAAGTGTTCAGAATTGAAGTGTCACCTGGGAGTGAAGAAACGAACTTCATCTCTGAAAAATATAAAGCATCAAGAAATTATTATTTATCAATTTTTTACCCAAGAGAAGCAGACCTGTGAAATTTTTGGTGTTCAGGGACCTTGAGATTAGGATTCAGGTTCTACTGAACATTAAAGGAGCACAGAACGTACTATAATATTAGTATATTACTCACTTTGTTGGAAAACATGAAACACCTACCAAATTGCTGGTGTATTTAGCAAATTGTAGTTATATTTTTGAATAAAGGGGAACTATAACCAACACAATCATGTTTAGAGAGCATATATAAATGTGCTTTTATAATGCTTATTTATTCCAACCTTAATAATTCGTAATGCTGTTTCCGCCTTTAGTCTAGAAGCGTTACCTGGTTCTCATGTCTTCTGTTAGTATCAACTTGTGTGATTCTTAACCAGTGGAAATCTGGATATCTCATGCAGGATGTGGGGTACCCTTCTGGCGGATGTTGTGATTCAAATGCTTGGAACTGACTATGCTAGGATCCTGCGAGCTGTATATGCATTTGCACAGGTAAATGGACTACAGGCTTGTATGCTCAGATTCAGTATGTCTCATTATTATCAAGAACTAATCCAAATATGAATGCCTTTTTCTAATTTTTTTTTTCCCAGTTTTATGATTTTATGATATTATTTTGTTCAGATTCGAATCTATCGCTCTTATGGAATTGCATCTGATTATTAAGTAATAAGGTTCGCATTTGGTGCTTGCCAATCTTCTCATAAAAGTGATTGATGCCACGTTTGGATCTTGAGCTATAGTAACGCTAAAAGGTATTTCTTTGAGTAATTAGATATTTGCTGGTAGAAAACTTTGTATAAATTTGACTATAATCTTTTCGTCACCTTATTAGGGCCTGGCCATGAATATCTCTACAGGATTTTATATAAGTTAGCTATTGGGTGTATATATCATTTTAGTTTGAACTAGAATTTTTGGTCGATGGAATGAGCTGCAATATTGAGTTGTTTCATTTTAGACAATTGATTGCCACTTCATGTTAATATCAGACAATTATTGTGCCAAGAGTGATGTTCTTCTTTTGAAATTTTTTTTTTCTTTTTTTTTTTTGGTGATATCCCTGATGATTGTGTTGATTTAGTTACATTTGAGGGCATATTTCACGGAATGGAGAGAATTATGACACAACATGGGACAAATATATCACGTCTCTTTTGCTTGATGTTGTACAATCCGGCTTATCAAACATGCCCATACGGTT